TATCACAATCACGTTCCAGATGAGAAGTCGGGCAGGTACACGTACATTTTGAATTGCTCCAATCAAATGGCATTTCAGTCGTTAATAATACGCGATATGCATGTTGAACGAATAGGAAATGATTAATTCTCGGGAATAACTTATTCCGAATACGAACACAGAGTAGCAGATAGAGCTATTCAGCTTTACATTGCTAGCTCGGATGAAAAAATTTCATTTCGTAAATAAGGAGGTATTCATTTCTAGTCTGAGAAAGTAACTCTATTCCATCACTTTATAAAAGATACATTACCAGGATAGAATCGAATATTCATATTTGCCTGCCTTTTGTTTGATAAGGCACATAGCTTACCAAATTGAAACTTCTTCACGTGACCGCAAGTAGTAACAACTTCCAGGGTTAGAGAGAAAGTCGGTACTAGTCTCCTTTAACATTTCCAGTGATCTACACCTAAATCGAACTACAGTAGTTTAATGTTTTTAAATAGGGAGTTATTTTTAAATATACCTTATGAAAACGAATAAAAGAAGAATTGACTCATCTTACTTTGACATGAATCATTTAAATACAATGATTTACCATGATTTAATCTTATATATGCATATATTATGTTTGAAATGGGATGCTGGCATAGCTATCACTTTTGCGCTATTAAAGAAAGTGTTTCAGGTATATTGCTTCTATCTTGAACAAATTCCCAGTAGTGCTTTTCTCCATTATAAATCTTTGCAGCTAATGCCCCATTGAAGTGATTACAGATAGTGTTCGTCTTTTACCTTTTCCCATCACAGCTGCCTTGTTCCAAGTACAACGTTATTACAAAAGGAATTTCCGATAAGGTCCTCCCGCATTCATTTGGGACATTGACTTTCCATTAAATCACAAAAAGGTATTCAGGCTGTAGTTGGTGTTTTCTTTACTGCAGCCAGTTACTGCAGATTTTGAATATTCGAAGAGTAAAGGGAGTTGTAACGGATAATTCACTTAGTGGTACTTTTTTCGAGCTACAATAATTATAAGATAAACGAACTTACATAAGTGAAGTTTGATCGTAATTATATGACCGTCTCTTCCGAATAGATCACTATGTAGATGTTTAAAGTTGATTCTGCAACAGTTACATGAGAATAAACGAAAGAGGGAAGTAGTAACTACTCTCTTTAATCTCCAACATTCTTATGAGAGACAACCATCCATGTGCGAAAACTTATTCTAACTGTTACAACTGTAAACTATTCACTATAGTCTGAGAATTGCGTCTGCAAAATTGTCAGTATTTTTTACAGGTCTGTTATAAAATCTTGCAAACACATTTGATGGCGAAGTCCAACCTGCTGTATTGCGTATTGTATCGATGTTGATACCCCTGTTGACAGCTGCTGACGTGGACGCGTGTCTAGTATAGTTTGGCAAACGGATCTGCAACATCGGGGTATCGGTGAGGGGAAAGCAAAACATGGCTGGTTTCATTCATAAAATGCCAGCGGCGTGCGGGATTTTATAAAACTTTGGGATTATTTCATAATTGGTTTAAATTTAGTAAACTATACGTTTATGTTTCACTTTAAATTTGGGGAGTATCTCAATAAGCCCACAATGATATGGAGCATTGTCCATAATAATAAATAAAGTCTCGGGTAAACTCAAAAATAGCTGTTCTCTACAATCTACACCATGTAAAAAAATACTTGAGTTTGTTTCTACACTTCAACAAACGGAAAAATGTCTATTCACTTCCCAAAATTGCCACAATTCAAAAAATCATGATATCTGCGCGATTTAAAACCAAAATGAAGCTAGCGTTTTTGTCAAAGCCGTAAATAAAATATATTTTTCAAATACAAATAGATACTTAACGTGGTTTTTTACCTTGAGAATATATATATATATATATATATATACAGGGTGACTTTGAAGTTGAGTCATTAATTTTCAGATAATGATTGTAGAAGGAAGATAAGCCAAAATATGTGTGTAAAAATAAAAAAAAATTAAAAAAAAAATTTTACCTTGTTTTATAAAGTATCCTCCCGACAAGTATTTCAGTGCGGACCTGTATTTGATCGTGAGGTCCCCTGTGAGGTCTTAAGTCACCTGATTCACGAGCCCGTTGTACTACATTAACAAAGGCACGAGGAGTTGGTTGCACTCGATTGGGAAACCGATCCGCATAAACATGTGCCATTTTTTATTTCGTTTGAGCCACGCAACAGACACCACTATTCACACGCGTTACCGACTGACACTGACTGTATGTATACAACTGAATAAAATAATTGTAAAAACATCGTTCCAAATTCTTTCGCTTTTTTATATATATATTATACATCCGTGATCTTATAATATGCTCATTTACTTTAAAAAGTGCCACAAGCCGAAACATGACCAGAATTGATTTTTATTTTATAATCCGCATATTTCTGGATTCCTATTGTTGCAATTTTGGACTGTTGATGTGGATATTTCTAGAGCATCGGTGTCGCTTGAATAGAAACAAAGAACTTTAAACATATTTCATATCCGTTTAACTTATAACCTCTGTAATAAATAATACTTACATTATACAGCATTTCAAAATTACATTTCACCTATTGAATTAGCATTAGTGTTCGTCAACTTCATCATTATCATCATCGTCACTGTCGTCATCAGTTTCGCTGTCGTCATCTTGACCTATAGTTATTATAACTGGTTCCATTTCCTCCATAAATTGATCATTTTCCCAAAATTTATCTTCAATGTCCCTAGCATGTTGACAAAATTTCTGCCAATCATTAATGGATATTAAGGACATCGCTTCCTGAGTAACTTCTTTCAGTGCGGTTAAACTGAAGTTTCCAGTGGTATTGCGGCTTCTTATATGAAATTTAAGCTTTGCCCAAGCTAATTCTATTGGGTTTAGCTCGCATAAATAAGGAGGTGTTCTTAGAGGAGTATGTCCATGTGATCTTATGATCCGATCAACTACATAATTTTTTTGGTTGTCAGGGCTTATGAAGTAAGACCAGATCGAACAAGTCAAATTTTCTGGCAGTTGCCTCATGATTTATGCCTATAAAATATTTTATTGTATATATTATGTATATGCATGTATTATATATATGTACATGCATGTTTTGAGTCATAAGTACCTTTCTTTGTCAACCAGGCCATTATATCTTTTTTCGAAGATGATTTTGTCGGGGTTTTATCTTCCTGGACGGAATGATATGGAGCATTGTCAAATACTATAACCGAATTGGCAGGTATATTCGGGAGGAGTTTTTCTGTGAGCCAGCGTGTGAAATTTTCCCGATTCATCTGACCGTGGTAATCGCCTGTAGCTAATCCCGCCTTAAATATCAAACAGGCATTGTCAACAAATCCATTTTCTGAACCTGCATGCACTATAATGAGTCGACCTAAAATATACAAGACGATTATATAATATGTTACAAATCAGAGTTAAATTTAACATATATATATAGCATTTTTGCTTATCTGTAGAACCTATACTGCTTATTACACCAGAAACAGTTTCGCTCTGCCAGCATTTTTTGAAAGTCAAGTCATTGTCCACCCAGGTTTCGTCCAAATAAACAATGTTGCGCCCTTCTTCACGATATCTACGTATTTCACGGATGTATTTGTACCTCCATTGCAATATATTAGGCCTCTCCATCAAAACTTTTCTTTTATTTTGACATTTGCGCCAAAAAAAACCATTTGATTTTAATAAACTCCTGAGTGTTTCCCTAGAATAGGGGAAATTTGAGTCTTCTCGCAACTTTTGTAATAACTTCCTAGTTGTCGGGACAACTTTATATTCAAGATAAAATCTGTTTATCAAATGTCTAATAATCTGAAAATCAAAATTTTCATCTTTCTCAACAAGAGACTGACGCGGTCTTTTTTTTCCGGGACTGGATAACATTTTATTCGGGTTATTTTCTAGTCTTTCTTTATCTTCGTTATGAATTTTCCTAACAGAAGATAGTCCGACTCCGGTATAAAGGGACACCCTATCAAGCTTACGTTTAAGCGGCAACTTGAGGGAATTGTTTGCCGCTTCCTCATCGCAAACCCTATAAATAATCATCAGAATGTTAGCTTAGCATTTCCTTGTTTTTCATTTATATTCAGACTCAGTAGTCAAAAACTACAATTATTGCATATTATTATTACTAACCTATAAACATTCGCAATCACTTCTCTTGTTTGGCTATGAAGCGTCTTTCCGCGAGTAAATTGGTTCATTTTAAAAAATAATACTAAAACGAATAACAATACCAAATAACAAAACACTAAACTATTCAAAAACACACAGCACTAAACATACAAACTTAATAGAACAATTAATAGTTAACAATAATAGTTGTAAAACTTATACACGACAATCAACGGAGATAAAACCTACGCCACTGGACTTTTCAATAGTATGGATATTCTAAGAAAGGAGCAAAAAATTGTCTGGGACGCTACCCAATAGGGAGCCGAATTTTCTCATGGCGACAAAACATGTGAGGATATCCGCCAATCAGATTTGTTTAGGCGGTGTCCAATATACCTTTCGGGTGGTTGTTGCCAGCTCAACCGATGTCGATAAGATCTTTGGAAAAATGTTTACTTATGATACGATTCAGTAGTAAAAAATAGTTATTAAATACAAATAGAGCTAACAACCCATTAAAATACTCAGTATTTTGAATTATTATTTTTTGGAATTGTGAAAAATCGATTTTCAAATCATTGAAATTACTTTTATTATTATTATTGCTTTTTTGTAGTTAAATTTGGCAATATCGAATATTTTCGGTCGCATTCCTTTCGCTGTTGCAGATCCGTTTGCTAGTGATGCAAAGTTTCGTTACTTTTTAGGACTTGTAAGGACTCGTTACTTTCGAACTTTGGACTCGTTAGTTTAGTTACTATTTGGACATTTCGTTTAGAACCTACATTCTATATATTATATCAAATTATTACTTTGGGATTGATCCAATTATTATTTTTTGTCTAATGCCTTGCCTATTAATTTTTTTGATATTTGATACGTAGAAGGTACTTATATTTTAAACTCGTCGTTGTGTGACGTCTGGTTCGTTGGCTGTACGCTGTAAATAGTATTTAACAAGTGGCATAACCAGATGGGGACCGTGGAGCAACCACTCTCCTCACTCTTTACTTTAGTTGAGTAGCGCCCCCTGCCCTAACAGTCTGGTTACTCCCCTGCCCTACTTAACAGTCTGGTTACTCCACTGTAAATGGTGTTCAACAAAATACTTATAATAATAAAACATACCTGAAACTAAGTTCCTTTTGCACCTAGGCAAATTTTCGTCTTCCACCCGCCGTTTTGCCCTTTCTCCTTCCAATGAAAGAGTCGGATGTTTAGTTTTCAAATGCTTCCTTAAATTGCTAATGTTTCCATTTTTATGCGAATAAATATTTTTACAAAGATTAGACTTTGCATTAGCTTCCGATATATTGGTGAAATGCATCCAAATAACACTTCTTTTTTGAGTTTGCGATTCTCCTGAACCGGACGCGGATGATTCCATATTTTTGTACAAATAATAATTATATTATTGCTCGAGCTTGTACGGCAACATCCAAACCAGTAACAACCCGCCAACCGGTAGCTCTCAAAGTCAAATGATAAGTGTACAGGTGTACACAAACATTGCCAACCTAAAGCTCCGCAGTCCGCAACTCGTTTGATAGAAGAGCATCTAAAGTTGCCTAAGCCTAACGATATTCACATCATTTCATTTCCACCCAGTTTACATCCAAGAACCAAGTGACTTGCTGCTGGCGCTGGCAGTACTGGCTACATTAAATCCCAGTAACGTTTGTATCTAAAGTAATGTATAGTGTAGTAACTAACAGTAATTAAAAAGTATACACAGAAAAAGACCGTATCGCATTCAAAGTAACGAATTCAAATAAAAAGTAACGAGTCTTTTCAAAAAGTAGGACTCGTTACATTTAGTTACTCATTTGTAACGATTATTTTGTAAGCGTTACTTAATTATTTTACATCACTACCGTTTGCCAAACTTTACTATGTGCTGTAAAGATCGATGTGTCAATTCCACTTTTGTCCAGCACTATGCGAATCCAACGACTAATGGACTGTGCCGTTGCTTCCTTATAAGGTTTCTTATGAGTCAGAAAAAGTTTCGAGAGCTTACCAGACTGCCTGAAATCTCTGGTTCTGTTCAAATAACATTTGAGTGTACTTGCTACACATAGTTTTGGGTTATTTGAAAGAAATTGGCCGTGCTCGAAAGAACATTTTCTTATAGCGCCCAGGGATAACAAACGCTCGATTTCTAAATTTAAAAATCTCTGTTCTGTTGAAGACCATTTCAATTCCTTAGGAACAGATTTCTGAACAGGTGTCTGAGAAAAAGGTATTAGATAACCTTTAACCCATGATAACAGAAGATTATCCGACGTTAACGAATTCCAAGCTGGTAAAAAGAATTTTAGTCTTCCACTTATATAAATTACCTTTAAAGGGTCCGCTTTTGATAGGCTTGGGTTTGATTGGTTCTGTATGCTGGACGAATTTCTTTCGTTGATCGGGGGGCTTTCCGAGGAGTCTTGGCTTCGAAACTCGGGGTTTTCCGTGAGTATTTCGGTCTGCCTCGATAACCCTTGACATTCACTCGAGGCAGACCCTTGAAGTTTACCGAAGACGTCAGTGTAGCAGTAACTGCTTTAGGCTTCAGGTTGGATGACAATTTTTCCATTTCACGAGCTGCTTTCACCCGATCACCCAGATTTTGTCCAAACAGCCAACCATCCACAGATACGTTAGAAAGGGTTCCTCGGAACTGTTTGTCTACACTCACCGATACCAAATTCCGCCTACACGTAGATTCTTCATGGTGAATGTCCGAAATTAAACGTCCGGCATCACTGAGGCATTCGACCAGCACTCTGGTATGTGCCCCCTCCCCTTTTTCCAACAGAATTGTCAGCGCTTTGCCAATTGCCACCAGGGCAGCCCCCATCTGGTCTTGGCGCTTAGAGAGCTTCAAGTCCCGCTGCTTGTGTTGTTCCGTGAGAACCGATAAAACCTTTGAGTTCAGTTTGGGGGCATTAGCAAGGCTTAAGTTAGTGGGAGGAGAATATTTTTTACATATAGTTGCTAAAACCTCAGAATCCAAACCTTCCTGTAATATATGGGACCAAATTTTAACAAGTTCGCTGTTAATGTCTTTTGTAGAGGCTTGATCGTCCACAGAGTTTTTCCCCAAAAGTTTCAAAATTTCATCCGAGATGGCAACACTGCGTTCGGCAACACTGCATTCAGCAACACTGCGTTCAGCAACATCGCACTCGGCAACACTGCGTTCGGCAACGTCGCACTCGGCAACATTGTTCCTCTCCAAAGTTCCGTCTGATATGGCAACATTGCGCTCGGCAAGGTTATTCTCTGCTGCAAAAATGGAAGAAATTATGATACAACTGTACCTGCCTTTAGAAATCGCCAAGACTCGTTGACAATATATGAAAATAGAGATGATCTTAGCAGCGACTTGCAAGTCGCGGGGATAACGGTGACAGCGACCTTAAAGTCGCCGGTAGATTTAGCAGCGCTTTAGGCCACTGTTTATCTATGGTCGCTGCCACCAGCCAGCGACTCCCTGGCACTGATTAAATTACTCGATATTTGGCGGCGGTTATCCATTGATATTAACGAGGTGTAGATGTTCAGGTTCCTGAAGATTTGAATTAAACTATATTTAAGGTTTTTGTTTTTAACAATATTGAGCACAAAACACATAAAATCATAAAAATACATAAAATATCTTTCTAAGAATCTTAAAAAGTAAAACAAAATACTATTTTACCAGTCAAAATAAAACTTTTAAAACATAACAAATGTAGTATAAAAATGCTTCTTTTATATGTTAAACATTGCTTAATAAACGAAACATTTTTCTATGAAACAGGAACTCACAACAATAACAATAAAAACTAACAAAATAGGTTAGGCTACGCTGTAGCGCCCCTGTACTTCCCGCGCGATGATCGCGAACGCGATGTGTATATGCTTCCTGGCAGCGACCACGACCGAAACAGCTACCGATCAGTGGTTACCGATACCGATACTTCCAAACAGCGATCTGGGTCGCTGCTTCATGGAGAATCAGGTCGCCGGGACTAACGGTGACCATTCAAGTCACCGGGAAAGGTCGCCGGTACCGATATATTGATCATCTCTAGATGGAAGAAATTATGATACAACTGTACCTGCCTTTAGAAATCGCCAAGACTCGTTGACAATATATGAAAATAAAGGCGACTCGTTGGTCTTGCGCTTATCAAAACTCGTTGACGACATCATAAACTACCTTACATGTGGCCAAATCTCGTTGGTATTGTAAAAAAAACAAACTTGAATTTGTCAAAACTCGTTGACAAGATAGGAGAATTGTGATGCCCCACATTTCCAAAACTCGTTGGCAATGTAATAAAATAATCGTGTGTTTGTCAAAACTCGTTGACCACAGGATTATACCGAAATTCGTCGGTAATACCCAATTTGGGTATAACAAGGGTACCCTTGCTTAGACAGACGTGTGTAACCAAAACTCGTTGGTAGCCATATTGTTTTTGTTTTATACACAATTATATTATGCATCCATAGGATACTTACGTCCCGATGAAGAGGTATCGTAGTTTACCAGGCCTACGGTAGCAGGCCGAATGATTTGGGAGAGGCTTCTTTCACCAACACTACTATCCGAGCTTTCGGGTGACGGCTCTCGTCTTTTGCGCTTCTTCTGAAGTCGGGATATCTTACGAGACAGCTTGTTCAACTGGGTCATGATTCCGGACAGCTCATCAGACGAATCCGAATCTGCATCAGACAGGGCCTGAGCCCGTTTTCGCATTTTTCTACTCATTTTGGTACGCGAGGGTAGGACCGGTCAGATGTTATTTTATTTAGCTTTGGAATGCGTGGCGCCACCTAGCGGCGAGGCTGAACTACATAGTGATCTAGAGGAAGAGACGGGTAATATAATTTTCAATCTAATTGGATTATCTATATTATCTCAGAAAAATAGCTTTTTTGAAATTTACTTTTCGATGATTATTCCCTTTAAATGTCGGCTGTTAGTGCGGTCAGTGCAGTCCACCCCGCAATTCCAAACATCGGTTACCCGTTCGAGTATTTCGTGTGGTAATAAGTGATTGACGTCACGCCATGATAACCCACTATTTAATGCCTGTAATTCAACCTTATGATCTTAAGAATATTTGGATTCAACAAGACTGCACACCGCTACTTGCAATACAGCCCATTAAACCTCAGCTTAACTGCGACAACAATTCGGCGAATAGCTGATTTCTTGATTTGGGCAGATAAAGTGTCCGCCTACAAGACCTATATGCCACACCTATCTGCTTTTTCGTTTTGGGGCTATCATTGATAAGAACGTAAAATTGAGGAATCAGAAATGAGTATTACTCGTGTTATTTATGAAATACCACCCGATGTACGCGTCATCGAAAACTGGACCATGCTTCCCGGGAATGTCACGGATGCTTCTTTATTTTATAATAAGGATAATCCGACTCAGTTGATTGATCTTATTTTGTACACTTTTCAAGGAGTGAAATGAATCGTCAATTATTACGAGACGGCTCAAGATAATATCTATTACTTGTACGTTCATCGCTGGCCATTAATAATGTATCGATGGATAGTTCTTTCCAAATGCTCTCTCGGCAGATGCTAATTAGCCATCGATTTTTCTCTCGATATCTGGTGCATGCTAGAGCAAGCCTTGGGAAATTGCTAGTACCGCAATCATTAAACAATTAAACTCATTAAAATGAAATATGTTGTTACAAAAATTATTTCATCTTCCAGGTCAAAAAATGTGATAACATAGACATTTTCTACTACTACGAAAGTCGAAGGCTCTTTGTAAGTATATATTAACAGTAGCTTACTAACTTATTGGTTATTCTTAACATTGCACATCTGCTGGGCTTTACGTTCAACGTCGCACATCCATTTCTTACAATAGTCTATTTGAGGAAGTATTTTTAATAGTTTTCGTCTGATTGTTACAAGGTGTGCATAAAGATACCTAACTGTAAAACATTTTCCAGTTATATATGTTTATACATGCCGTAGATAATCTCATATTTTTTATATAGGATAGATGCTATGCTTTCGTTTCTTGTCCAGAGATGATTGTGCAAACGATGCTGATGCCAAAAAGGACGAAACAACAACAAAATGCATTTTTTAAATTAAAATCCATTATGTTTTTATCATCTCTTTCACATTATGAAACAACCAGACGAAATGTATTAAGAACACTTTTCTAACAGACTGTTGAAAAAAGGGATGTGAGAAATAAGTCGAACAAACACCAAAGTTGCTGGAATGACAAGCATCAATTAAATGAGCCGAAAGGTGGACTGCTGGAATCAATACTTTCAAATGCGCATAAAAGGTGAAACGTCA